GTGTTTTTTCCAGTTAAAATATTCCTCATATCGCTTCCTGTCCTCTGCAAGTCTTTGAAGATATTTCCCCAGTTCCCGTACTGATGAAAACTCATCGACATGGATAAAAGAATGTTCTGGAGCCACAGCTTTGTAGTCACTTATTGGGGGTCCCAGTACCACTGGTACAGCCCCTCCTTTGTAAGCATTATGCCACAGCTTCTCAGTCACATAATCTTTTGCCAGAGAGTTCTCAAAAGCCAAATAAAAGTAGCAGCGAGAGATTGTTGGTAAGAGGTCTTCAGAGGAGAGCGGCATTTTATTCCAACCTCCATAAACCTTCACAGGAACTGTGGCACTGAGCTCTTTGTAGACTTGGGTTCTTCTGTGGTGGTTCCTGTAGTTGCTGACCACCCAGCAGACCAAAGAGGTCTTATTTATATGGCTGTCCTCCACCAGGTTACTTTCAGTCTCCAAAGGCAGCAGCTCACCATAAGGTATGGTAACATCAGCGTCTCTCCTGTAGGAAATGGTCATGTTGAAGATATTTGCAAGCTTCTTCAAGTTTCCGTTGTGATTAGGAGACTCCAGTGACATCCAGGCCCATCTCTGGCCTTGTGGCCGTGGGAGTTCGATTGGAAGCTGCTGGCTTCCCTTTACCAATTCTCTGTTGTGGAACACCACAACATGAGCTGAGGGGAACAAGGAGCGCTGATCCACCAGTGTACAGTTTGGTATTTTGTACAGATCCAAGCACACATTTCCCTTTAGACTGTACGAGCGTCCGAATGGCCACTTCCACACCAGGATGGTCACGTTTGCAGTGCTTTTCCAGTAATTGTAGGTGTTTGCTTCGCGCCATCCATTGTGAAGACACAGCAATAAACCACTCAAAATGCAGAAGACAAGTCCTCTCTTCATGGAACACCATTTCATCCTTTTAGTGTAAGGATCCCCCTGTTAATAAAAAATAAATGAAACTGGTTATCTTAGGTTTAACAGTGCTCTGATTTACTTGAGATTTGCTCTTGCAAATTGAGATATTGTTAATTTCCACATATTTCTATTAATCTCATTTTTTTTGATGAAAAGATACTGTAAATATAATTCAATAAGAGTTGGACTGGAAACAGCAGAGGAAGTGCCCCCCACACTTCCTCTGCCGTTTCAGTACTGAAGACAGGCACCATCCTCGCTGCAACTCTGACATGGAGTAAACTAGAAGCCTAAGTAAGTCTATGTCTACTTAGACATAAGTAGACATATTTTAAGTGTATTAAAATTGAAAATTAACTAGCAAAGAGTCTTGATCTCAATCTGACAGAACAACTTTAGGATGAATTAAAGACTATAAGCCAGACCAGATTATTTAGTTTCAAAATGTGTAGTCAGGTTGTGAAAACCAGCACCGTGCAAAGCCAAGCATCGAAGGTGTCATTGATTCTGACAGCCCAACTCCTTTATTATGGCTTCCTGCCTCTGTTTTATGTGCGCTGGTCGTGTTGGTACAACAGGATGCTGAATCATTAGATTCTTTTACTGGACTTGGCTGCAAGTTCACAGCTCCACCTACAACCTACTTAGTAGTATATGTGTTGTATCTAAATGTAGGTTATATCTCTATGTTTTAGTAAGATATAATCTAAACTAAAAGTCTTTGCTGTTGGAGAAATGTGTGCATGTCAAGGTGCTTACATTCCAGAGCTGCAGGCTGCCTTATATGGAGATGGGTGCACACAATAAGCACTGCCTTTAGATTCAGTGTACACAAGTGATGGTTAGATATAATGATGCCAAATATGGGAAATTGTTTG